AACTCTGTAGCCCGGCGCTCCTGGAGGGGGACTATCAAGTGGGCAACAAGGCCAAGGGTGAGCAGAGAGCCTTTCCAGGGTGACCCCGCCAGGGACGGCAGCATTGGACAAGCCAGGGCCGAGGAGCGAGGCATGAGGGCTGGCCAGGTATTCTAGGGTCAGGGCAGCCCTGGGCTGCAGGCGCGGGTGGGACACGGAGCCAAGGGCAGCCAGCCAGCAGAGCACTGGCCAGGAGTGGGTGTCACAGCCATGCCCTGTTGTCCGGACACCTCCAGAGACTGAGGGACCGACTCCTCCCAGACCTCCACCCCCGCCCCCAGCCCAGCCATCTCCGCCCAACACAGTCCTGCCTCTCAGCTTGACCTGACTCAGCTGCCTGGCACTGAGGGCTGCATCTTAGGAGACCTCCTGGACACCAAGTTGGGTCAGGATGTGGGCAGAAGGCTGCAGGAGGGGGCCAGGTCTTGCCCCTCTGCTGCCCAATTTTCTCCAGAAGTACCAAAGGGAACATGGCTGGAAGCTGGCTGGCAAGGGAAAGGGTCAGACGCAGGCCCGCAGCCTGCGCACTCCCACTCGGCCCTTCCGGATCAGCTTGACCTTGGGCTCCCCCAGCCTCAGCCTGGGGCCTTCAGCTACCCGGCTCCTGGCACAGAGCCAATTCATCTGCCACAGGAGAAATGTCAACTGCTTTGCCTTCTGGGGTGCCCCCTGTGGGTGGCCTGCCAGCCAGCCCACCCAGGCAGAAGGAGGCCCCCCGCAAAGGGGCATGCGCGCACCCGTGGGATTGCTGCCAGGTGACCCCAGGCTGGGAGCCCACCACCCGCACACTGAGCCTGGCCTGCCCAGGAGGGGCTCCCTGGCCAGCAGCGCCCAGGACACCCCAATGCGGTCCCGGCCCCGGACACACCAGGCCCACACTGCAGGTTCTATCAAGAGTGGCATTTATTCTCCTCCTGGAGGTGCGGCGCTCCGGGGAGCTGGTGCTATTGTGCTTAGGAAGGAGGTCCGTCCGTCCGTCCGTCTGTCCGGCCGGCCCAGCCCCAAATGGGGGCGGCAGAGGGGCGCGGCCCGAGTAAAAATCCCGGCCTGTTCCGGG